TTTTTTTTTTTTTAAATAAAAATTACGTATATGTAAGAGAGAATTTGACTATATATATGAAAAGTAAGTTATGGATAGGACCTTGAGAAATGCTAAATCCATGTTTTCTGAGGAGCCTGAATCCAAGAGCTGTAGCGCCCAAATCCATTTCACGTTTTGACCAGCCTTGACCATGAATTTGTTTCAAGACTTCATTGATTTTGTCCTCAAAGTGATAAGAAATACCAAGCCTCTCCAAGTCATCAATCAACTCCAATTTTCCAACATCTTCCATGGTTTCGTCGTCCAACATCATCTTCACGTCCTCTATTAGTTCACTCGCCCTTTTCAAATACCTCTCGTCCTGTACGTATGACGAAGCAAATTAAAGAAAAGAGTAAACAATGACCTTATAAATTTCAAAGAAAATGATGCATGTGTGCATACCTCGTATTCGGTGCTCAAGGATTGAATGAAATCGTAGTCCCAAGAGGAAGGATAATAGTTTCCAGATCGTCGTTCGACTGAACTAATATTAATCTGATCACCAATTTGAGCCTTGCATTTGAATCTACAAAGCTCAGTTTTTTTTGAAGAAGCCAAGCAATTGAAGGACGGTAGTTTTCTATCAAAGGAGAAATGATTACTAGCAATTGGCTGCTTTTTCGTAGTGGCCATGGCCATAGTCCATGATAATGCAATGGCAGACATTTTAATATGACATTGATGATGATCTGATTTTTTTAGTTAATTTATCTTGTTGTGTGAGGCAGTGCAGAAAGTGGAAAATCACACTAGTATTTATAGGTGAGATTGAAAATCCCAATTTACGCCGCAAATACTTAGGTGTGCCTTAGCACACCTTGCTAGGTGTGCCAGGGCCTTTAGTGAAATACACCTTCTCTAAAAGTGAGTGGGGTAAGTCGGTAAGGATTTTTTTTAAATGGGACATGTGTCTCAATTCTATTGGGCAATGAAATTCATATATCATATTATATAAATTAAATTATCATTCATATTTTGTATCAAAAAATAAAAATAAAAATATCAAAATTCATAATTTTTCATTGTCTACAAATAGAGACCACATTTAATATTTTTTTAAACACAATTAATTTATCATTTTTTACAATTAATTTATCTTATTGGAAGATTATGACATAAATCTATAATTAGATGAATATGTTACATAGTAAGATGAACATGTCATAGAATAAGATGAAAATATTACATTTTCACAGATGAAATTTAGATGGACATGTTATAAAATAAGATGAACGTGTTACATAATAAAATAACATGTTATAGAATAAGATGAACATGTTACATATAATGAACATGTTATAGAATAAGATGAACATGTTACATGCACAATAAGGTGAACATGATACATAAATAAAATGAACATGTTATAGAATAAGATGAACATGTTACACAATAAAATGAACATGTTATATAATAAGATGAACATGTTACATACACAATAAGGTGAACATGTTACGTAATAAAATGAACATATTAAATAATAAGATGAACATGTTACATGATTAAATGAACAAGTTATAGAATAAGATGAATATGTTACATACACAATAAAGTGAACATGGGCAAAATTTCATTTTTGGTCCATTATATTGGCCATTTTCCAGAAATGGTCCACTAATTTGGCAGACATCAAACCTGATACAATAAGTTGTAAAATTCATCATTTTTGGTCCATAAGCATACGCGGCGTTTTATCGGGCGAATACGTGGACAAGTTTGATGTCTGCCACGTAGGCTCCCGAGTGATTAATGGACCAAAAATGATAAATTTTACAACTTATTGTATCAAGTTTGATGTCCTCCAAATTAGTGGACCATTTTTGGAAAATGGCCAATATAATGGACCAAAAATGAAATTTGACCTTTTACAAAATAAGATGAATATGTATTGTTTCAATCTACAATCTGTAACATGTTCATCATATTTGAAAACATATTCATTTTATTATGTAACATGTTCATTATATGTCAGTATAATAAAATAATTACGGAAAATTATGAAAAATTATGAAAAAACGAAAAATTAGTTGTGTTAAAAAACTATCAAATGTGGTCTCTATTTATAGATAATGAAAAATTATGAATTTTGGTATTTTTATTTTATTTTTTAATATAAATAATTAATAATATTTTAATTTATGTAATATGTCCCATTTTTCAATTAAAAAGGAAAATTGGGGATGTGAACTACACTCTCCAAATTTCTCTAGTATTGGGAAGTTTTGGGGGAGTAAAGGGCGCGTGCAAATGTGCCCTGACACACCTAGCTAGGTGTGCCAGGGCACACGATAGTGGTACTGAATTTACGCCACCAACCTACATCCACGCCGCGGCGTTTTCTTGTGTTTAACCAAAGTAAATTACTAAATACTGACCCCTTATTACTATTTATTGCCCCCAAAAAAACTTATTTGTCATTTTCCCTTTTAAAAAAAAAAGAAAAAACTTAAGTCGCTCTCTTCTCTCTACTTTTTCTCTTCCTAAAAAATTATGAAAAATTGTCCTGACAACCCTCACGCACAAGCAAGGGATTTTTCATTCCAGGAGTATTTTTTTTGTTTTTCGTTTATAATATTTTTTTTTTTTATTTTTTCTTTTTAATTTTGGGTATCGGCCGGCTGGCAATGCCGGCCGATTATGTTGCACCCGACAGCCAATTACGGTCGATTCTGTAGGGGTCGGCCGCGGATCGCAGCCAGGCTCGCGCGAGCCGACCCCATTATCGCGGCTGCGCCACAATTGGCCGCCATGGCCGGTCGTCCAGGAAACCGACCGCCGTTTACGGAGACCAACCATTCTGAGTCCGGCCGGCGGGAACCGGTTTTTATTAACATGTTAAAAATTTAAAAAATAAAATGAATTTAATATATTAAAATATATTTTATATTATTTCATATATGTTATTAAAATTGATTTAATATAATATATTGTCGGTTTTGTGTTCGATCCCGGTGGCGGGTCGCTCGATATTCGACCTCAGTGGTGGGTCACTCGATATTCGATCTCAGTGGTCGTTCGGTTTTTGGTGTTCGACCCCTGTGGTGGGTCACTCGATTTTCGACCTTAGTGGTCGTTCGATTTTTGGTGTTTGACCCCAGTGGCGGGTCACTCGATTTTCGATCTCAGTGGTCGTTCGGTGCTCGATATCAGAGGCAGGTTATTCGGTTCACGACCTCAGTGGTAGGTCATTCGGGGTCCGACCTCAGAGGCAGGTCACTCGGTGTTCAACCTCAGTGGTAGGTCATTCGGTGTTCATTTAGGTCCCGATGCTCATTTGGAGGTTTGATGACTATTCGGTGGTCGAGGATTTATTCAAAATATAACTTCACTGGCAGGTTGACAGAAAAAACAGAGG